CATGGAAACCCCACTTCATTGAGTAGTTTGGACTTGGAATCATGACTGTCTTACCAGAAAGGTGTCTTAGTGGGAAAATGGAAGAGCACAGAGAAAAGGGACTTTGCAGATGCTTGACTGGACAGCTCCCATAGCTGACCCCTGACAGGGCTTTGACATTGCCTGCAGGCCTTTCATCCAAGTGTGGTCCACAGGGGGCATTGGATGCTTGTGCCCCCCACCTGCTTGGGCAGCATATTTGGGGATCCAGCATGCCTTAGAAGAGGTGAATAAATCTGGAAGAAGCTGCTAATAAGCACTATTTTTTCCCTCTTCCTGCTGGGAGGAAGAAAGCACCGAGGCAATCATTAAGCCTGGGTTAATTATCTCTGGTGACCAAGAAACGCTTAGTGGAATGGAAAAAGCAAAGCAAAGCAGCTGGGCTATACCAGTTTAATGCGAACTCCTAAAATCTCAGCACCAAAGGCCACGCAGGGCAAGCCTGGGCTCCATCTCCAATGCCTTGCCTTAAGGCAGCCAGGGAGCAAAGAGGGAACGGGACATGAGGTTGGGGGTGTCTTTTCTGAATGAGGGGGTTCCCAGTGAAGGCTTCTGGAAGAGTCCAGGAGAAACAGTGGTCAACTTAGGGTAGGGGACTGTTTTTGAGGAAGGATTAGACGCGGGATCATTTAGGGACTGGGTAGGGACAGCTCGGCGATTGGGTACCTCGAGGAATAGATAAAAGAAGCTACGTGACTCTAAGAAAGAAGATGTCACACAAAGAAGGGCTGGTTATGACATTTCACACCTGCTGCCTGGTCCTGGGAGACAGTTCCTGTCAACTGCAGTAGGTGCTGTGTTGGTCGCCCAAAAGCAGGCTGTGTCTCTCTTATTCTTCAATTTGAGTTGGGCCAGAGAGACAGGGGTGTTGGCAGGTCTCTTGTCTTATATTCAGCCAACCTGTGTGAGACTAAATCCAGGATTTGAGCTTCTAACTAATTCCGTGTCTCAAGAGGTAATTTATTCTGGCATAAATAAAAACAACAAAGCACCTAAAATTCCGTGCAAGATAGCCTAACGCTTCTGAGTATCTGATTTTTCCACTTATTATCACCTAAAAGGTAAAGGTAAAGGTACCTCCCGTTGATCACCTAAAAACTGATGGTTTTGATTTTTTTCTTAAACAGCTGTGAACAGAAAATATCATGATGAAATATTTGGTCTCCATAGTCACAAATTCTGCTCTCATTGTAATCTGAATATTTGAATTGCAAATTATCAGCCCCTGCTCTAGTAGTGCTTAAATGTAAGCTTGAAAACCAAGTGAAGAAAGGGATTTTTGCAACGAGTTCTCGATCAATGGGTTCAGAGAGTTTTGCAAGATGGAGGAGTTCTGTGGGTGGGTGGTATAGTGGCTAACCAACAGTGTACAAGAGGGAATTAAATATACTTTGATTTCTCTAAACTGTGCATTGAAAATGCTTGCGATGGTAAATTTGACATCATGTGGAGTTTATACCACAATTTGGAAAAAAATGAAGAAAGGTGAAAACAGGGATGGGTTAGCAGGGTAAACTGGAGAGAGGGATGAGAAGAGGGGAGGAGAAGGCCTGGGGCAGGTGACAAGGACTTTAAACAGCTGATGATTTAACCTGGACCTCGCTCAGTGAGGCTCATTTCAGGCTTCACAGAAAACCTCTAGCCTACTGCAGTCCCAGTGCTTTGTTAAGTGGGGTCGATAAGAAGATTGTGAGTCCATCTGAGCTGGTGCGGGGTGAGTAGTGCGACCAAGCGTGAATTCAGGGGCTGAAGTGAGACATCAGAGTAGAGGCTCAGGGGGCCGGAGCGATAGCACAGCGGGTAGGGCATTTGCCTTGCATGTGGCCGACCCTGGTTTGATTCCCAGCATCTCATATGATCCCCCGAGCACCGCCAGGGGTCATTCCTGAGTGCATGAGTGAGGAGTAACCCCTGTGCATCGCCAGGTGTGACCCCCCACCCCCCTTCAAAAAAAAAAAAACAACACAGAGTAGAGTCTCAGAAGCCACAGACTAGGACATTGTAAATATCTGATGCTTTCCTGCCTGCGACCCTCCAATCCTGCATTTCTAGAGAAACTTCCAACATCTCAAGACATTGCACTTTCAAACAGTCAAGGCCATCCTTGCTAGATCTTAAAAGCACAGACACACCACCTGCCTCTGGGGCCCATCAGGCAGAGATTTAGAGCACCAGTTCATTTCCTCCCTGATCTTGCCAGTTGCCTGTTTGCTAACGCTTGTGCTTTTCAGTGAGGGTCTGTCTGTGAGGGGCAGAGCACAGTCAGTGAGAGAGAGCACAGTCGGGTTTCAGAACCAGACCTGCTGCTGACAGCATGACCTGAAACAAGTCACTTCACCTTTCTGAGCGTTAATGTATTCATCTATAAAAGCAGAAGTATCACAATCCCTTCCCGCTGGTGGCTTCTGAGAGTCACAGTTCCATAGAGAAAGTGGTAGAACAGTTCACGCAGTGCTCTCCATCAGCCAGTACCCGGCCCCTGTCTCCGCGTCCGGGAGGGTCTCAATCATGGACCTTAAGGAGGCTGCAGCTTCCAGCCCTCAGCTATGACCAGTGGAGTGTCCTTTCCTCAGCCTGTCCCAACTGCCACCCGCCCTTCAGTGCTCTGCAGCCTAAAGCGATCAAGTAAGTGCTTGTACCTGGTACCCATGAGGGGGTGTATTAAAAAGGTTCCATGTCTCAGAATAAATGACCCCAAGCACAGACCTCCTGGTGATGGGCGAAGGGAGTGTCCCCCTACTGGGCGAAGGACAGTTTAATAGGTTCTTTGTGGTAGGCGAAAATGAGCTTTTGGGGGGCTGGGAGAGGAAGGGTCTGCTGTTTTGCCTCAGTGCTCAGCTTTCCAGCTGTACGTTTTCCTCTGTCCTGTGATGCAAATGCATTCTTAGGGCTTGTGCCGTCCCAAGATGCTCTGGAAGAAAGGAGACAGGGGACAGGAGAGGATGAGGGAGGCCACCTCTGGCCCTCCTCCTCTCCCCTGGGGGCTGCCCCTGCCCTCAGCCAGGCTTCCTGGCTGGCTCCCTTCCCGAGCCTGGCTGCTCCCCTCTTCTTCCTAGACCAGACTTGGAGGCACTTCTGGAAGATCCATTCAGAGTCCAGCGATGGAGATGAACGTCATCTGGGACTTCTGTCCTCTGTCTGACGAGCCCCCACCCCTGGCCCGGGCTGAGTCTCTGCTGGTGCAGTAGCCCCTGCCCCAGTCTCCGCCATCCTCTGATGCTCCCCTACCCCACAGTCCACTCTCCACCCGGCAGTCAGAGGGGTCCCCCATGCTTATAACCATCCAGTGCACCCCAGGAACCCTGCAGGAGACCAGAAACCCAGCCTTTCCCCCACAGGCCCCTGTGCACTGCTCCGTCTCATTTCTCACGTCCGTCCCCGTCCACAAGCCACCCTGGCCAGCACACGGAAGGGGACACACATGAGGACTCTGCCCCCAGCAACCCACTCTCCCTTGGCTGACCCCATCTCTCCTGCCATTCAGCTCCAAGAACCTGCCTCACCCCGCCGGCCCTCCCATCATTTATCTTTCTCTTAGTTCTCTGGGTTTTCTCTCGTGCTTGTGGCCCCGCTGTAGGAGCCCATGACAGCCCCCCCTCTGACGGCCTCCGCAGGCCCCCGCTAGGACAGGTTCCACTCCCCATGTGGCCTCAGCTCCTCCTCCGTGAGCCCGAGCCTGGCACACACAGTGGCTCAAGCAGCATCCATGGGATCAGTGAATGCTGGATGAGGGAGTGGATGGACAGGGGCAACGAGCGCGTCCTTGAGCAAGGATGCATCTCTAGGGTGCCTTACCCCTGAGGGGTCCAGCCAGGGTGGACCTGGGAACCCCCACCTCCTCCCAAAGCACAACCCAGTGCGTGGATCTTACCTACTTTCTCTCCTTGTAGTGGCCAGTTCTTCTTCTGGGATTGCCTGTGATCAACAGGGGAGAGAAAGGTGGGAAGGAGCCTCGGAGGAGGGGTCTTGGGGGAGAGCCACGAAGCACGACTTCCCTCCGTGCCGAGGACGATGTGGCAATTGGGAGCCTATGGCCTGCCCTCCTGTCCCTCGAGATGTAAGGGGGCTATGCATGGTGGGTGGGTGGGGGCTGGGCTGCTATCAGTTCAGTTGCTGCTGCTAACAAACTCTTTGAAACGCCCCCCCCCGCCCCGCTTCCCTAACGAAGGGTCTTTGGAAGGAAGGATGCTCCTATCTCATATCAGCTTGGAACTTCCGCTTTGGCTCTATCTACCTGATGCTATTTTCCCTCTCTGCAGTGCCCGGAGGAATCGAACTCGGGTTGGCCATATTGGCTGCGTGCAAGGCAAACGCCCTACTGCTGAGTGATAGCACAGCGGTAGGGCGTTTCCCTTGCGCGCAGCCAGCCCGGCCGAGCCGGGTTCGATGCCTCCGCCCCTCTCGGAGAGCCCGGCAAGCTACTGAGAGTATCTCGCCCACACGGCAAAGCTTGGCAAGCTCCCCGTGATGCATTCGATATGCCAAACACAGTAACAACAAGTCTCAAAGTGGAGATGTTACTGGGCCCGCTCGAGCAAAATCGATGAACGGGAGGACAGCAGTGCCTGGAGAGGCTTTAGCTATACTCACAGATGAGAGGGGCTTGCCTGGGCTTGCAGCGTCACCTTGCTTCCTCCTCTGCTTCCCCTGGGCTCTCAAAGTGGGAAAGAAAGCCAAGGCCAGGGCCAGGGCCAATCCCCCTCAACCAGCCCACGCCTGCCCCAGGCACCCCCAGGTTACGTCCCTCCAGTGGCACCTTCCTGTCTCCCCTCTCTTCGACTCTGTCAAACCCCATCCCTCCCAGATTCTCAGTGATCATTAAAAACACAACCTCCTCCCCCCACTCCCTGCAGCTCCCTGCTAAGTTAGAGTCTAAAGGAATCTGCATTCTGCAAGTCATCTGAGCAAGCGCTGGGTGCTGGGAACGGGGCTGGGCTTGGTCTGCATCCCCGCGCCTCTGCTCATCCGCCTGATGGTTCTGAACAGTCGTTCAAGCTGTTCTGAACCTGTTTCTCATCTGTGATGTGCAGGTCGTGAGTACTGCTTCGGAGGCTGGTGGAATGAACTAGAAGGATGGAAAACCTCATTTGTGTTGTTAGGGGGCCGTGGTGAACACGGCTGGCTCCGGGGTGCATGCGGACCCTGACCATTACTTAGGAAGCCTGTCCCTAACTCTAGGCCATGGAAGGGCACCTCAGCCTGTTTCACATTGGTGCTCCCCTCCCACTTCACCTTCCCAAAGGCCAAGAAGCTTCTGGAGGCCTAGATGAGGCTAATCTGACCCTGATTTCCTACAAATGGCTCAGGTCATTCACAGGGCAACCCCACAGCTGTAGCTAGGCTGTGGTCAGGCAGAGGCCATAGGTGGTTCTGGGATCCCAGGGCAGTTAGCAGCTGGAGTGGCTGGTGCTGGTGTTTCCTCTGGATCCCAGTGACCTCTGGTGGAAGAAGCTGGCTCACTGGCTCAGGGTGAGGAAACAGCTCTGGGCACAGTGAGGGGCAGGTGCCCACCTGTAGGGTGGTGACAAGTCTTTCTCCTCTTGAACTACTCGGAACTGACTCAGGAGTTGTTCTTCTGAAATGGAGGCTGGAGTCTGAGTCCGTAGCTGTTTCAGGGCCATGTTCAGGAAATTGAATGCGAGATCTTTTTCTGGAAGCACAGCAGGCAGAGTCCTGGCTCGCAGGTACGGGACAGGCAGCAGAGAGCGCACCCCCGGCCCCGGCTGGCCCTGGCTGAAACAGCCTTCATAGCCCTCTTCCGCCCCGTTCCTCTGTCTTCCTGTGGGGGCCCTTTGTGCCCAGACCCCAGACTTTCTGCATTCTCCCTCATAACACACAGATGCCTGGATCCCCCGTCCAATGCCCTTAATCCTACACATATCCTGTGGGCCTGAGATGAGGCTGGGGGCCTTCTTCTCCCCTTTCCTCACCCTCATCCCTCCCCCACTTCCCCGCTCTCAGATCTGTTCTCTGGCTTTTATCTATTCCCATTCACTGTCCCGGTGTCCCTGTGTGTGTGTGTGTGTGTGTGTGTGTGTGCATCCACGTGTGCACTTGTGTACTGCATGTATGTGTACGTGTGTGCGTCCGTGTGTGCTCCTGTGTACTGAATGCATACGTGCATGTGTGTGTGCATATGTGTGCATTCATAGGCACTCTTGTGTACGGAGTGTGTGCACCCATGTGTGCTTATGTACTGAACACGTGTGTGCATCTGTGCGCATCCAGGTGCGCTCTTGTGTGATGAACGTTATGTGTGCGTGCAGATGTGTATTCATGTGTGTGCATGTATGTATACACATGTGTGTGTATGTGCACGTGTTCGTGTTTGTGACATTGTGCACTCGTGCACTTGTCCCAATCTGGGGCTGGGCTGGGGCTGCTGGGGCTGTTCTTTGCGCTCCTCCCTCCTTGCCCTGATGCCCTGATCTGAGGTCGGCGGAGGGGATCTCTCCAGGGAGAGGGTCAGAGAAACCCAACTGAGGCCTGGGAAGGGGGGACGCAGGGAGGGTCCTGCAGGGGGTCCCAGAGCTCTGGGGGACGTGTGAGGGGGGAGATTCGAGGTCCTATGGAGCTGCCTCACCTTTTTGCGATGAGCCAAGGAGCCATGCCTGGATAGACCTCAAGGAATCTGTCTGTAGGATCTGACACAGGAGCTCGAGGACCTGCAGGTGGGGACAGGCTGTCAGGGTGCCCGGACAGTTCCAGGAGCAGCACCGGAAGGGCCCCTGGAAGTGGGACCCCAGGGCCTCACATGTGACTTGGCTAAACTGGGGGCTCATGTTGGCCCCACACCCCATCCAGGGGCCTTTGTACTTCACTGATGATTTTTCTTCCCTCAGCCCCAGGGAAAGTTTTTTTTTTTCTTTTTGGGTCATACCGGGCGATGCTCAGGGGTTACTCCTGGCTCTGCACTCAGGAATTACTCCTGGCGGTGCTCAGGGGACCATATGGGATGCTGGGACTCGAACCCGGGTCAGCCGCGTGCAAGGCAAACGCCCTCCCCGCTGTGCTATGGCTCCAGCCCCCAGAGAAAGATCCTTTGCGATCTCCCTGCAGGTGAGGAGTCCGAGACCCTGAGAGAGGAGATCCCCGAGCTGGGAGGTGGTAAGGAACTGAGCGTGGGGATCGGACAGGCGGACGCCGCAACGCTCACTGGGAAGGTCAAGCCAGAGTTGGCCCCTGGCCCCTGGGAGACGCACCGGATCCTGATGCCCTTCGTTCCTGGCGTAGGAAGTGCGGGGACCCCAGAGGCCCCCCCACCCTTGAGGTCCCTGGAGGCGGGGTCAGGGCAGCGTGCTGATCCCCGGGGCGGGCAGGCTCCGCGGACGGCCCCGCCTGTAGCTTCGTCCTGCTGCCCCACGTGTGCTCTTGCTTCCCAGCTGCCTCCATGGCCTTTGCCATCTTTGTCACTTTGGGGATCTTTTCCTCCCATGTCCCCCAGTCAAGAAAGGAAAAGTCCAGTGCTGCCGTGGATGGGCTACTGGGCACCCCTAGGCCAGGTTCCTGGAGGCAGGTCGGTCTATGGTTGGCTGGAGTGGGGGCCGGTGATAGGAGGCAGAGCCTGCGGTGCCCTAGGAAAGGGGAGGGGGCAGTCCCTCAGTGCCTGGGGGGCTGGCAGTGCCCAGCGGCTCTGCCTCATCCTTGGCAGAGCGGACACTGGGCCTGGTCTCGCTCCAGGTCTCTGCCTGCTGGGGTGCCCGCCCTCCCCCGCAGGGACCCACCCGCCCCTCCCCACCTGCCCCTGGGCCCTTCACTCTCTCCCAGTCCCACTTACCTGCCCTGTGCCCCCTCCCCAAGGAACCTGAGAACCTAATTCCAGGCAAGGTGAGGCCGCCCTATGGTGGAGAAAGTGCTGTGTTCGTCTCTGGGGCTCGGGACACAGGATGCCACTCAGCAGGGCCTCAGCCTCCCCTCAGTGGAATGGGGGTGCCGGGCCCTGTCTGCTCTACCCCCAGCCCTGGCTGGCTCGAGGCTCTAGAGGGATGGCACCCTCGCCAGTGTGGGGCTCCGGGCGCTGGCTCCGTGTCCGGCCTCTCCTAAAGAAAGGCACATTTTATGGCTTGGCTTGGGGGGGTCACACCAGTTGTGTGCAGGGCTTACTCCTGGCCCTGCGCTCAGGGATCACTCCTGGCAGTAACCGGGGGACTCTATGGGGTGCCGGGAATCAAACCCGGGTCGGCTGCCTGCAAGGCAAGCGCCCTCCCCGCTGTAGTTTCTCTCTGGCCTCTAGAACAGACGCGTTTTCACAGACATCTCTGATGCCAAATCCCCCTCGGTGAGTCATGGACTCGCCTCGGGCCCCGAGGGGAAACCTGGAACTCAGAGACGTGGGCTTTGCTTTCTGTGGTGGCCCAGGGCGGACTGTCACCGAGCAGGCTGCCGCTGGACACGCCGGGCAGGCAATCTGCAGGGTTGGCGTCCTTGGTAGGACGGAAGATCTACAAGGCATGGCCGTGACTGTTGCTGCTGCTGCTTCTGCCGAATCACTTCCTTCACGAACACATCAAGTGCTGCTGCCCAAGTGGCCTTTCTGGCTCTCGGGTGTGGCTGGGGCTCCCACACTAACCTGGCCAACTGCGCCCTTCCAGGGAAAATCCTCCCCAGCACCCCCACCGACCGTGCTGGGAGCTGCTTCCCCTGCCCCCAAGATGGCCCACCGCAGGGAGGGAGTGGTGTCATCCCCTTTGGGACACAGTGGAGTACACGTGGGACTGAGGCTCCAAGAGGGAGCACTTACGGGCAGGAGCAATAGGGCAATGCGGAGGGCACTTGCCTTGCATACAGTGGACCCAGGTTCGAGCCCCGGCGTCCCATAAGGTCCCCCCCCTAGCCTGCCAGGAGTGATTCCTGAGCGCAGAGCCGGGAATAACCCCTGAGCGTTTGCCGGGTGTGGCCCCCAACAACACCAAAACCAAAAGCGAGAGAAAGCACTTAGGGAGGGAAGGGCACAGGTGTTAGAGGCGGCGGGCAGGCCGGGCCTCCGGGAGGCTGGCAGCCCCATCCCGGCCGGTCCTTACCAGCAGGTCCCGGTCCTCCAGGAGGAAGGCCCGCGTGCCGCTGTATCTACTGCGAGTGGATTTGCCCGAGGGGAAGTGGCTGGTGGCTCTGGTGGGTGCGGGGATGAGCCGGCCCGTCTGTGCTGAATATTTGGCCCCGTGCTCCCGCGGGGGCTTCTCGGGCTAGAACACAAGTGGCCAGAGACTCCAGACAGAGAGAAGAGGCGGTGGACGGAGGGGAGAGGCCGCAATTCAGTCCGCTCCTGGAATCCCAGAAGGAAGTGTCGAGGGGCCCGGGTGTCTCTGGGCTAGGAGGGCAGCGTGCCCTTGCTGTCAGAGCCAAGTCTCTGCCTCCTAAAATGGTGCTGAGGTCTGGCTAATCCTCGTGGTCCTCAGACGCTTCGGGGCTGGCCCTCACTGCTGGCCCTGCCGACCTGCCGGAGTCTGGGACCCGTCTCCTGGGCCAGGGCCTCCACTCCCCGCCCCCACTAGTGCCCAGCTGAGCTGCCCCCGCCCGCCCCTCTGGAGCTGGCATCTTCGCGTGGCCCTGGCCTGTGGCACTGGGCCCAAAGACCCCTGCACGTCTGCAGTTAGGAATGGGGCTTTCGTACCCATTTTATTTATTTTATTTTATTTTTTTGCCTTTTGGGTCACACCCAGCGATGCACAGGGGTTACTCCTGGGTCTGCACCCAGGAATCACCCCTGGTGGTGCTCAGGGGACCATATGGGATGCTGGGAATCGAACCCAGGTTGGGCCGCATGCAAGGCAAATGCCCTACCCGCCATGCTATTGCTCCAGCCCCTTTCGAACCCATTTTAAAGGTAATAAAACTGAGCCTCAGACTGCTTAGCTGAGGGGCCTTGAGTGGCACTGAACTTGCTGTCTGCAGGGATGCAGGCTCTGCAGCCCAAGAGACTAAACTGCAGCGTCAGGCGTGAGCGCCTCTTGCCCACCTTCCTCCTCCTCAGCTGCCCCCTCCACGTGGCAGTCCCTGGTGTCTCCGGGTGGCCTGGGCTGTCCAGAGTCTGAACTTTTGTCCCACCGTTGGCTCAAGATTCTCTCCCGTGTCCCTGCTTGGATTCCTCACCTGGGCCCTTCTCTGCTCCTGAGGCCTCAGCCCCTCGCCGTCCCTTCGTTGGTTCGGGTTAGGTGCCCCCCCGCCCCCTCCCCCCACCAACTCAGAGGCCCCGGCTAGCGGGAGGGAGAGTTCTGTCTCCTCCAGTGCCCCCGTTCTCTTCCCACCTCTTTCTCCTTCTTGTCCCTCGGCTCACTCTCTGTGGCAAAGGCGGCCAGCCGCGAGGACAGCTGCTTCAGCTCCTTCTTCCAGGCCTCTGGCAGGAGGGGACAAGGTCCTGCTCATTGATTCCTGCATCCTCCCCGGCTCCCCCACCTCCCGCAGTGCTGGGTGGTGGGTTTCTGCTCTCCATTGCTTATAGGGAGGGGAGGGCAGAGGGGAGGGGTGGTGAGCGCTGCTTCTGACTCTGTGTTCAAGGATCACCACTAGGGGGTGCTTAGGGTGGGGTGGGGAGACCATGTAATGCCAGGGGCCGAGCTGGGGTCAGACATGCCAGGCAAGTCCCTCCACTCCCGAACTATCTCTCTGGCCCCACCTCGCCCCCCTGTACCTTAAAGAGGAAGGGAAGGTAGTCTGGGCGGGGACGGAGGAGGCAGCCCGCCTGGGCCGGGTGGAGTTCCTGTCCTAGCCTGTCTGCCAGCCCCTGCCGTTATCATCAGGAGATGCTGGAGCGCGTTTGGCTCCTGTGCTGACCTGTGTGGTTTTATCTGCTTCTCCCCTTTGGGGAGCTGGAAGCAGGCCTGTGTGCCGCAGGTGGGCTGTGGCAGGTTCTACACCACTGAGCCTTCGGCAGCAAACCTTCCAAAGCTCTTTTCCATGCTTACCTGGCCTCTCCCTGCCCTGCCCCCCCACACCTGTGCACTGGGCCCCACCCTGGCCCTCATCCGCCCGAGGAAGGGAAGGCTTGCCTCTGCAGAAGCCTCTGGAATCTCACTCCAGCCCCATCTCTGGCTGACTGTCCTGATGGACTGGTTCCCGAGCACCCAAATGACTAAACAGTTCCAATATCCTCTGCATCTGGTGCAGCAAGTCACATGACGCCAGTCACATGACTCCCGCCCCCTTTCTCTATCTTGGCCTGTTGTTGAAGCAGGCAGGCGGGGAGAGGGACCCTAGCCACGAGTTTCTGGGAGAAGGACTAGAGAACTTGCCCCTTTCCCAGCCCAAAATCATTGCTCCGAAGTCTCAAGGCCGCGTCCTCTGTGGAGATGGAGAAACTGAGGCCTTGTAAGACCGATAGGGGTAGGCAGTGCCAAGAGAAAGGTGGGCCCCCTCAGGAAAGGAGATACTTCAAGAGCAGTGGAAGGGACCAGAGTGACAGTGCAGGGGGGAGGGCGCTGGCTGTGCACGCAGCTGACCCAGGTTCGAGCTCTGGCATTTCATACTGTCCCGAGCCCACCAGGAGTGATCCCTGAGTGCAGAGCCAAGGAGTATGCACTGAGCATCTCTGGGTGTGACCCCAAAGCCTGCCCCCCACCCACGGGCAACAAAAGATGATGAGAGGAGCACAAAGCCGACTAGCCGACTCAGTCCCACACCACAAATCTCGCGACCGTCTCTGGCCTGCATGGAAAGCCCCAGAAACCCTTAAAACCAATTCTGCTGAGGCAGGCGGTGCCGTCCCTATTCTGGGGTCACCCACATTTCCAGTGGGGGCGTGCCATTCCTTTATCCTATTTTATGGGGTACTCCTCTGGGGGAGCCTGTGTTCTCTATCAAACTCACAATTTTTTCTCTCTCCCTCCCCACCCCACCCCCTGCTATATTTCCCTGAACAAAACTATGTCACTTCATGATTTGTCTCCTACAGAATTTCTTTTCTGGCAGGGCGGACGAGGACTCTGGGGCTCTGGGTGGAGGTCGGGACTCTCTCCTCTCTCCCTCCTGTAACGGGTCCCTCGCTCCAGCCTGTGATCAAGGCTCTGCGGGTCATGCCCACCCTTTGCAGGTCAAATGGCCCTTGGGTGCAGTCCGAGGCTGCTGGTGAATTGCTGTGTCCATGCCCCACAGTGCGCGTGGCTGACTTTACCGGTCCCCACCCACCCGGTGTGTCCTCGGGAGGCTGAGGTGTCCAAGCAGCGGGCTGGGGCTCCCAATGGAGGTCTCTCCGCCCCCCACTCTCCACTACTCGCACAGAATCTTCACTTTCCCTCAGATCCAAGTAGGTGGCGGCCAATTCTGGGGGCCCCCGGGGAGGGGCAGAAGTGGGGGTGGGGGTGGGGAGTAACAGATGTCTCCACCAAAGAAAATGAACGGGAAAGGCAGGTGGTTTCCTTCTCAGGCACCCACCCCCAAGGGGCTTTTTTCTGTCCCAGGTGGAGGGGTGGCGGCCCACATACTCACCGGAAAAAAGCAGGGGTTCCCGATTGGACTGTGGGTCTCCGATGGGGAAGGAGATACGGGGCATCTTCAGGCAGCAGCCCAGCAGCGAGCTATGGGGCAGGTGGGCTGGAGAGAACTCGGCCCTGACTGTACACACACGGTTCCCAGTGAGGTCTGGGAAGGGTGAGAGGAGAGGAAAAGGAGGTCAGGGGGACCCTGTGGACATCCGGCGCTGGGAGGGGGCAGGTGAGCAGGGGGTGGGCCCGGGTGGGAGAGTGGCAGCTCGTGATCCCATCACCCCCGCCCATTGGTACTGGACTGGAGCCCGCGGCAGCCTCCTTCCTGGGGATGTAGAACAGGAGAGGAGAGGGCATGCTCGGTCGCCATTGGGGGTCTGGACCCCTGCCCCCAGCTTCCTCTCCTGACCCAGGAGCGAACTGCAGTGTGAGCACAGAGGTGAGGGCCGTGGCCTGGGGACTCTGAGGAACAGTTTGTGATGAAAGGTCCTGGGCTCAGCTGTGGAGGTAACGAGGCTCCTGGCCGAGAGATGGTGAGGGAGAGGCATCCATTGCCTCACCGGTCTGTGGCCAGCCCTGGTCTAGACCACATTTGGGCCCTAGCGCTCCGCCAGCGGTCACTCCTGAGCACCACTGGGTGTGTCCCCCACAGCCAAAATCCAACTATAAGCCACACTTCCTGCCCCCGGTTAGAGCTGAGGGCCACAGTCAGGGAACCCAGGGTTCCATCCCTGGGACCAGAGCTGCATCCTGGTGCAGCCAGGAGAGGCCCAGATTGGCACAAATGGCACCAGCAAGCTCTTTGCCAGTCTGTCAGGGCAGCTGGAGGGGTAGACATCTTACACCTGGGGAACCTCCCACCAAATGATAATTTTTTTGTTGTTAGTTTTGGGGCCACACCTGGCGATGTTCAGGGTTTACTGCAGGCTCTGTGCCCTCAGGGATCACACCTGGTGTTGCTTGGTGGGGGTTGGGGGGGCATAAGCATTCCCGGGGATCAAACCAGGGTCACGTGCATGCAAGTCAAATTCCTTCCACGCTGTGGTAACTCCGCAGCACCTCGTGCTCCATTTCTACTTCAAAATCGGCCATACCCGCCGTGTATCTCTAAAATAGGGCCGGCCACCCACTTCCCCTGCTTCCTCCTTGGCCCAAGTGACCATCCAGAGGGAACCCCAGATGACTCATTTCATTTCTCTGTCTTCCTGTGGCTCCCATCTGAATTGGGAGACGGTTTCATGGGGGACCCCCTGAGGCCCCCACTACCTGCCTGCTGCATCTCCTTTTTCAATTTTATTTTTTTGGGTCACACCTGGTGATGCTCAGGGCTTACCCCTGACTCTGCACTCAGGAATCAACTCTATGGGATGCTGGGGAGCGAAGCCAGGTTGGCCCCCTCCAAGGCAAGGGCCTTCTCTGCTATACTTTTCGCTCCAGCATTTCCTTCTTGCTCCTGACTTTGCTCTGGCCACACTGGCTGCCTTGCTGTGGCTGATCGGAGACAGGACACTCCATGTCCCTGCTGATGCCCTGCCTGGGGCATCTTCCCGAGACCCACGTGACCCATGCTGTCCTCAGGGTAGGACTCCACTTCCCCGCCAGGCTGCTGGTCAGTCTCGCCCTCCTTGTCTCGGCTCTCTCCACATTCTGGGCTCTGGTCTGTTCTGTCCTCTCTAGGGGAGCCCTCCAGGACAGGGACTGTCTGTCACACACCCAGGGCCTCTAAGAGTACTGACTTGTGAATTCACACTCAGTAGCTGTTTGGCGCGTGATGAGTGGATGCGGTGACCTGAATCCGAGTCTAGAACGCAGCTCTGGGTCAACTCATCCTCCCTCCCTTTCCTAGTCTGGGAACAGGAGGATGGAGGAACCCAGGCCTGTGATTCTCTCCATCCTCCTCCTCACACTCTGCCTGGAGCAGGCCAAGCTCCCTCATCCCTGGGCCTCAGCCCTGAAGCCAGATCCCCCACTCCCTATAGTATTTGCACCCACACCACGTCCCCTGCCCAGGGGTGATCCCGCCCGGTGGCCCCAGCCCCCGCCAGCCCTACCTTGGATGTGCCCCACGTGCTGGGGGTGCGGGTGGTGTCGGGAGAAGAAGGAGTGATGGCTGAGGCTGCCGAAGCGACAGGTGCTTGAGGAGCTGGTCCTGGGGATCTCTCTGTGGATTGGTGTCAAATTCGAAATCCCAGGAGTCCCCCGTTCTGTACGCGGCCTGACGTCCCTTAGGCTGCTGGGCCTGGGCTCTGGTTTCTTCTCAGACTTTGGCTCAACACCTGGACTGCAGGAGAGGGCCAAGGAGAGGGTGGGGCTTCCTGGCAGTGGTGTGCCCGAACTCAGAGCTCAGTGCTCACCGATTCATTGTCGGATACTCCAGGGCTCCCCCACCACCGCAAGACACCCAGAGCCAGGTCTCTGCCAGAGTCCTGCCCCCCTGGGAACCCTCTGGTCCCAGGGAATCTTAGTCTTCCCGAAATACCTTAGCAGAGGGCTGGGATCCATTCGTGAGAACTCAGATGGAATCCCCCAGGACCCCACTTTTCTCCCAGAAACCATCTTAAGCCACAAAGAGAAGCCAGAGACCCACCTGCTCATGCAAACACCTAGTACGGAGCAAAGGCACATTATATAAACCTCCCGGGTCGGGGCCTGGCCCCACCCAGGAGCGGCCAGCTCTAGGTACGTCCCACCTGCCATGCCCACCCCCCATGGCTTTAAGGTTTGCTTTGGGCCTGACCCAGCATCTGGGGGCCACAGCTGGCGCCGAGGCCAGACCACTCCAACAAGCATTTTCCCTGTGGCGGGGGCCCCTCCTGGGGGAGCAGAGTGGCGGGCAGCTGTCAGGGGGACGCCAAAGGGACGCTGCAGGCTCTCCCCTACTTGGCTTCACTGGACACCCGCCCTCTCGGGTTCTCTGCCCCCACCTGCGGATGGACGCTGGGCCTCTGCCCCTGGAGGGAACTCCAGCCAACGTCCCCCTCAGCTGCTCTCTCATCCGGAGCCTGGAGGGACCACCTGCCTGCTTGCTGTCTGCGTCCTTCTCCCGGTGGCCCTGGCTCTCAGGGACCCCTCTGGAGAATAGGTGGACTCTGGATATTCTAAGCAGGATGTTCTCCCCCTGGACCCTCTGAGGATCTTGCTGGTCAGGTCCCTGCGTGTCCTGTTTCATCCTGGCTTTGCTTCTAAGGAATCTGAGACTTAAAGAAATAAAGCGAACCTTCTCGAAAGAGGGCCGTTCCCTGGCCTCCACTTCCCCCAGAGCACAGCAGCACTGGAGAGCCCCGTGTCCCAGCCCCTGCCCCAGGGACGGGCCCCTCTGCAGCCAGAGCCTGCTCAGAACCCGCAGGGAGCCTTGGCTGATGGCAGTGGGGTGCAAGCCGGACTCGGGGCTCCTGGCAGCACGTCTTCCTCCCCACCCCTGCCCCTCGGACTGGGGGGACGTTGGTGCTTTACCTCATGGGGAGATGTTCCGACAATTGCGTGTTCATTGCTGTGGCCATTGTGGCTTGTCGAGAGTGGGAGACGGCCAGTTGGAACGGCACGAGACTGCTGAGAGTGCAAACCAGGACACACTCTGGTGGTGGTTGGGGGTGGGGAGGGGGATGAGGTGACAATACTTCCTCTCTTTGAAGTTTTTTTTTTCAGCCACCTTCTTTTTATTTATTTATTTATTTTTATTTTTTAATTGTTATTAATGAAACACTAATAAACAGTCTCCTGCCCCCGCGCCTGACTGTCCTCGCCGCCGGGGCCCCTTGGAGGGGAGCGGGTTGAGCTTTCCTCCCTGCCCCGACCAGGGCTCCGGCAGCCAAAGACCTCCAGGACCAGCCACCACCATGCTGAGACCACTCTCCGCACACATGAAGGTACTGGCAGAGGGACAAAGCCACGCGGGTTCCGGGGCCGAGACCTCCAAGCCTACTCGAATTGGAGTCGAGCATCTTCCACCCAGATCCTCCAAATTCCAGTAGGCGGGGGTCACACCCACCACCTGGCCCCCTGGCGCCGTGTAATCCCATCAGCGGCCAAGACTCAGAGACTATAAAATCCAGATCCCGGACTAGAACAGTGCAGTCTTCTGCCCCCGCGCCTGGGTGTTCCTTCCCGGAGCCCCTTGGAGGGGAGCGGGTTGAGCTTTCCTCCCCGCCCTGACCAGGGCTCCGGCAGCCGAAGACCTCCAGGACCAGCCACCACCATGCTGAGACCACTCTCCGCACACATGAAGGTACTGGCAGAGGGACAAAGCCACGCGGGTTCCGGGGCCGAGACCTCCAAGCCTACTCGAATTGGAGTCGAGCATCTTCCACCCAGATCCTCCAAATTCCAGTAGGCGGGGGTCACACCCACCACCTGGCCCTTGGCGCCGTGTAATCCCATCAGCGGCCAAGACTCAGAGACTACAAAATGCAGCTCCCGGACGAGACCAGTGCAGTCAGTCTCCTGCCCCTGCGCCTGGCTGTTCCTTGCCGGGGTCCCTTGGAGGGGAGCGGGTTGAGCTTTCCTCCCCACCCCGACCAGGGCTCCAGCAGCCGAAGACCTCCAGGACCAGCCACCACCATGCTGAGACCACTCTCCGCACACATGAAGGTACTGGCAGAGGGACAAAGCCACGCGGGTTCCGGGGCCGAGACCTCCAAGCCTACTCGAATTGGAGTCGAGCATCTTCCACCCAGATCCTCCAAATTCCAGTAGGCGGGGGTCACACCCACCAACTGGCCCCCTGGCGCCATGTAATCCCATCAGCGGCCAAGACTCAGAGACTATAAAAACCAGCTCCCGGAACCGCGCGGCCGCGACATCCTATTATGACATCTTATTATCTCACTCTTACTTTGGACAAACTGGCAGGCTACCGAATGTAGCCTGCCCACAGGGCAGAGTCTGGCAAACTCCCCGTGGCGTACCAAATATGCCAAATACCAGTAACAATGATGGGTCTCATTCTCCTAAAGAGCCTTGAATATAATCTCAGGGCTAGGATGAAGGAGACGTTACTGGGGCCTGCTCGAGGCAATCGACGATTAACAGGATGATTTGTGATTTGTGATTTTTATTTTTTAATTGTTATTAGTGAAACACCATGAGGTACAGTTGCAGACTTAGACATTTTTGTGCTTGGGTTTCAGTTATACAATGATCAAATACCCATCCCTCCACCAGTGCCCATTTCCCACCACCACGGATCCCAGTATCCCTCCCACCCCCCATCCCCCACAACCCACCCTGCCTCTGTGGCAGGGCATTCCCTTTTGTTCTCTCTCTCCTCTTGGGTGTTGTGGTTTGCAAGAGAAGCACTGAGTGGCAATCATGTTTGGTCTCTAGTCTACTTTCAGCATGCATCTCCCATCCTGGGAGGATCCTCCCAAAACCCTTTATTTGGTGCTCCCTTCTCTACCTGCCAGCCACCTTCTTCACCATTTTCTCTCCGAGAGTAATAGAGACACTCTTGCATTTGAGAGACTGGGGCGTGCAGAATTACAACCTCCCACTGCTCCAGTGAGGGAAACCTTATGGCGCCAAACTCAGTGGCAACAAAAGGGTAGAAGAGATAGGGTGGCCCGTGCGGACAAGCCAATATGGTCTTCAACTGAAGCGAAGCTGCTAAGTAGCGGTCTCACAGAAAGAGTCAAGGAAGCAAATTCCAGAAGGGCGAAACCCTGAGATTTTTTGAAACAATGAGGTTTTAGAGCAAGCAAAATAATCATGGACCTGGGTGTACGAGAACACAAAGGCTAACATAAAATTTAGCTGAATAATTCTCCGAATTTCCCAATAGCACAGCGGGTAGGGCGTCTGCCTTGCACGCAGCCAACATGGCCGACCCGAGTTCGATTCCTCCGCCCCTCTCAGAGAGCCCGGCAAGCGACCGAGAGTATTCGATATGCCAGACACAGTAACAACAAAGTCTCCAATGGAGACGTTACTGGGCCCGCTCGAGCAAATCGATGATCAACGGGAGGGCCTTTACTTTACTTTACTTTCCCGACTCTCAGAGAGAAATTGGAGAGGAGGTAGTTACTGGAGGCATTCTAACCGTTAGTTTAAGGAAATGGTCATTAGAATATTCAAACAAAATAGATGTATAAAACTACTTAAAACTATAAAGCTATTTAAAACTGTTTAAACTTAAAAATATGTAGAGAGCAGGGCTGGAGTGATAGCACAGCGGGTAGGGCGTTTGCCTTGCACGCGGCTGACCCGGGTTCGATTCCCAGCATCCCAGATGTTCCCCTAAGCACCGGCAGGGGTAATTCCTGAGTGCAGAGCCAGGATTGACCCCTGTGCATCACGGGATGTGACCCCAAAAAAAAATATGTAGAGAGGACCCGAGAGATCATGCAGGGGGTAGGGTGCTTGCCTTGTGTGTGGCTGACTCAGGTTCAATCCTGGCAGTGCCTATAGTCAGTCCCTGAGCACTGCCAGGATTGATCCCTGAGGACAGAGCCAGAGTAAGTCCTGAGCACTGCTGGGTATGATCTCCACAACCCTCCAAAACAACTTATAAAAGAGATAGAAAATGCTTATAATATTTAAAGTGTTCATCATGCATATCTAAATTATTATTCTACCTAAATTATTATTCTACTTGGGGGGGCCTTGGGTCTTACTCCTGGCTCTGCACTCAGGTGGGATCACTCTCAAGGGTGCTCAAGGGACCATCGCAGCCCCCAGGTGATGATGGGGACCATATGCAGTCCCCTGGCTGTCCCCAGGCGGCCACATGTAAGGCAAGCGATTTAACCCCTGCTGTGATCTCTCGAGTTCTTGTTATATTTTAAACAAACTAATTCAATGAAATGAATTGATGTCAAATCTGTGAATGATCTAAATATGAACCTGCATATCTATCAATCTATTTCTCTATCAATCAATCTATCCTTTTTTATCAACTAGCTTAAGTACCACCGGAGTCACAGCACAGGTCACAGCTTGAACCAGAAAGTCTGAGTAACAGACTCTCTGAGTAACACAATCTCCAAGGACCTCAGAAATTCCCCAAGATCAGGATTTTTTTTTGTTGTTCGTTTGCTTTGGGGGCCTTACATGGCTGTACTCAGGGCTTCCTTCTTGGATCTGCACTCAAGGATTACTCCTGGCAGGGCTCAGAGGTTCCAGAATCGATCCGGGATCAGCTGTGTGCAAGGAAAGCACTTTACCCCCTCTCTTGTCTCTCCAGCTGCTGGAGAAAGGGGCCTTCGGCAGCCCTAGCCTGCCTGCCTTCAGGGAAGACCACCTTGGCACCAGAGACTGGGGTGTGCACTTCACCTCTGACCAGAGTCAGATGCGCATCCTTAGGCCAGGGCTGAGAGGCGCCAGCATTGAGTGCAGGTGTGTGAGGGTGGGATGGAGGCCGACAGTTTC